GTATACCTTAAATTCCATCTTCTCAAGGTAGATTGTGCTGTGGGGGGGTGGGGGGGAGTGAAAAATCATGTCATTTTTAAACAAAATATAATTTATTATTTATTATGACAACAGATTAAGAAGATTGCTAAATGTAAATCTGGGAAACATACAGAGTAAGACTTGGATTCGTACAAATACCTGTCCACACAGGAAAAGATATAAACCTGAGATGCCAAAATATTAAGAAAACCAACATGATAAAGAGTCTTACCCTTTACAAGCTGCAGGGTTGAGAAATACTGTTGCTTTCTTTATCTGCATATTGGAAGGAATAATTTGGTTGCCCAATACCTAATAATAAAGAAAAACAAAGGGCTTACTGTTTCACAATAATTAGCATTCGCCATTTGGATACTAAAAAACAATACTCTTTGTTATTTTAGTAGTTATTGCATACCTTCCCACAAACTGGCTCAAGGAAGAAACCAGTAGCTTGTTTGCTTTGTCACCTGCAACAAGCAACTTGTAAAAGTGCCTCTGATATTCCGAATTCCAAACCCCTAGCTAAGTAACACAAAAGTTGTTATTTCCAGTACTCAAAATCAGGCACAATGTTACAAACATCAGGGGATAAAGAAGAAGCAATGAAGTCCAAAAATTAGTCGGATGTTTAAGTCATGATTTAAGAATTAATTAATAAAAGTATTAATTAGCCATGGATTTGGGATTTTGTTCACCCATGGATCAACCCAGCTGTTACTGCTTTTGATTTTTAAGAGTTCAAGATGTCAGACTCCACCTTAGTTTAAACATTATGGTTGTAAAGCACATGGGTCAAAAAGGACTTTTCATAGCGCATACAGATGCAATTAATGCAAATGTGAATACTATAAATGTTATTAATTTATGGATTGTGCTACTGCAGCCTTCCCCAAGTGGTGCCCTCCAGATGTGTTGTGGTTTTTGTACTCCTCGGGAACTGAAGTCCTAGCACATTTAGAGGACAAAGGATTCAGGAAGGCTGCTTTCCTGTGATCTGTCTCTCTTAGTATGATGCAAACTAAGTAATAAAGATAAACCCCTGGAAATTAAACTGCTAACAATAACCAAGGAATATTTCTCAGGTTTTGTTGTAATGAGATATAAAATGAAGCAGCTGTAAGATCTCTGAAACTTTTACAAGCATAATTTTTTTTCCAAAATAGCAATTATCAAGATCACTGAGATTATTAGAGCAGAGAATTTAAAATATGCTGGAACAAAGATGAGCATCACATTCTATTTATTTTATTGCAATGAGAACAGGAAGGCAGAAGGTAGGTGAGAGCTAATGATTGAGGGGGGCAAAGGACAGAGAAAATCAAACTGGCATGTTACTTGAAGAAGAGATCAGAAACGTCAGTAATTATCCCTATTATGTTTGCATTCTTGAAAGAAATCAGGAAAAAAAGACTGTCTACACTCACAATTCTCTGATCTCTTATGGCTGTTAGAAACATGGAAAATCCACAGCAATAGGATCAACCCGAAAGGCACAAAAATTCAGATTAGCTTTCCCTATATCTGTACCCTAGACAAATACAGTGTGAACAAATAAAAGGGGGGAACCTAATAAAACTGAAATCTGCAGAAGACACAGCCTAAAATGAATCTCACTTTACCATATGCATTGCAGATTTAGGCATAATAATAGTAATTTATTAAACTTGCATGCAGCCAAACTCTCAATGACTCTGGGTGGCTCATAACAATCAAAGAAATTACTGTACAACAAAATCAATAAAAGATAAAAGATGGCAAGCACAATGAACTTGCCAAAGGCCTGGGTGAAAAGCCAGGTCTCTATAGCTCTTCTAAACAATACCAGAGTAGGAGCCATCTGGATCTTGGGGTGAACCTCGTTCCAGAGGGCAGGCAGTGCTACAGAGAAATCTACATTTAGAAATGTTGTAATAAACTGTTAGTGGCTGCCTCCCTTTCTTCATTACCCAAAACCCAACTGTTACTCAGATTCATCTCCAACTTTAGGCGAAACAGAGAGGAGGACAAAGGTGACTCTAAAACACAGCTATTTTTATATTAACAAATGTGGAGCTTTTTGAGTACAGTGTAAGGTCTACTGTCAACTATGATGATGATGATGCTATCCATTCAATAGTGTCCAATTCTGTCAACTATACTGAGTACCAATAGTTTAAGAAATATCATTTCCCCCAAATGCCTATGAAGAAATTTCTTTCTCAGTTGTTGAAAATATCTGGAAGTTATTCAGTACTGATTTACAATTTGCAATATAACCAAGACTTAGAAATTTGGTGGCTACCAGTACTAGAAATCAAAAGCATGAGTTCAACCTATTGCAAACGGTTTTGTGTAAAAATTCATAGTGAACAGGAAAAGAAGTCAGATAATAACAAATTCAATGTTTCCTGCTGTCAAAACATCTTTCTCCCCTTTTGTACATGTAATGTCCTACCAATCAACCCTTAATTTTCTCTGTTATGCCAGCTGATGAAAATGGAATTCCAATCTCTTCCTACAGTCCTACCACCTCTTGCCCACTAGTTTACCTGGCAGAAGAAAGACAGATAACTAAGTTTTCCAAGCTGTCATACTGAATACTAAAAAAGGAAAAAAAAAAACCAACCTTCACTGATGCTCTTGAATAATTTGTGATAGCACAGAATTTGAGGTATAATTAGGTGCAAAGCCTAAGCTTTGCAAGAAGAAGAAAGCGCCTGCGGTATTTGAGCAACTGAATACAGACTTCCCTATTGATAAGCTACTCACGTAGAACAGACCCACTGGGAGAATCTCCAGAATCCTGCACAAGTGAGATAAGAGGGGATTTTAATCTAATTTGATCTTGTTAAATGGTATTACCTGGGCTTCTTGGCATGCAGCTCTCCTTAGTAGGTTATCACTATAATGGGAAAAAGGAGAAAAGACAAAAATATGGATATTAAATAACCTAAATTTACGGAAGGTAGATAGATAGATGTATGAATTTTAAAAAAGATTACTGCTTTGGCACACATAAATCTTAGTCAAAATTTTTCAAAGGGACTATGGATTAGGAATGCATACCATTTCAACAGTCATAATTTTAGATAATATTACATTTGTTATTAATTTCTCTAGCTATGTATTTATTAAGAACAAGTATATGTGACCCCTGTACTAGACTACATGATGGATTAATGTTTTACCCAAAGCACTGATCAAAGTAATCATTCCCCATTGTGTAAATAAATAGTAAGGAATTTTTAAAAAACCCTCCAGAAACATAGCTGGACAACAAATGTGGTCAATTTTTTTTTTTCCTGACACAATAGCTGATTATGGATAGTATCAGAATCACTGTCTCTCATTTTTTCCTCACACCCCCATTAACCTGAACGTATATACACAAAGGAGCATACTAGTCACTCTATAGTTTGAATTTCTGAGTTTCAGCATATGCTAATTCTCTAGTTCTCCTGACCTTTGCCAAGGAGAATGACATCAAGCACCCATTTGCTTTCATTAAGAAGCTTCATGACAACATATGGTGTGGAGGGAAGGGGTACATACTGTAGAGGCAGTGGGCCAAATTTAAAGATTTAGTGTGCTGCACGCTTGGACTGAAAATTCCACATTTCAGGTTAGAGCATCCTGGTTTTGTAGAGGTTGATACAATGGAATTGTTTCTCTCTATCTTGAAGGTATATTTTCACTCCTTCCCCCTGTTTGCTAGAAGCATCAGTGGTTAGAAGGTGCAGGAGGTAAATTTAATAACCAAATGAATGGGAACCTATTACTTCTGTTTTTATTTAAATATTTTTGTTATAATTTTATTGTACTGAACCAATCATTTTTCTATCCACGTGGTTTTGGATAGAAAAAATAATTGGTTCAGCACAATAAAATTAAGAGATGGAATTAAGAGATGAAAAATGGAAACACACACAACTATGTTAATGACATAATATAATTTCAAAGTTAATAATAAAAAGGGATAAAAGAAAGGGAAAACGTTTGACTACATTGCTCAAAGGTTTTAAAGTCCCTTTGTCAAAAAACCCCAGCAACACTAATTCAAATGTTGACATACAACGCATACCAAGCTTTGGTTGCTGTAAATAGGTCTATAATAATTGTAGCCAACTCCATCCTCTAAATCTTCTAATTCATTTCACCAATCTTAACAACTAAACACTACAGGGATTCCTTAGAATTTGATTTCAAATGTTATGTAGTTGAGTCGAGATGACAAGATTAACTTTTAGGATGTTGTCTCTGTTAGGATTTACCTATTTTAATACCCCTAGCCTGAAAAGCTTTGAGTCTGAAGAGGATGTTGCTTTCATCCCCAAGAGTGAAAGCCACTGGGTAAAAAGTCCAAGTGGTCCCTGAGTGTGTTTTGCAACAACTGAAGTCAGGGACATACAGATCAAATGGATTTGCTCTCTTTAAATGATTTAAAGCAGGACAGGACTCATCTAGTCCATAAGTACTAAAGGTCATTAATTATGTTTCAACCCAAGTAACCATGAAGATGCCTCGTATTGTTTGCAATTTACTTTCATCTTCTCTCCATAGCCTATTCCTTGGCGCCACACAAAATTAGTTTGATCAAACAACTTGTTTGTTGAACCAAATAACTTCCTGCCAGAGGAACCTTTCCAGTGGTAAGAACATTGATTTCCAATGAAGACCCAATCAGGAGAAATTCAAAGTAAGCAACAAGAGAAATGCTTGTTGATAGGAAACCTTTAGTGAAAATAATGGGGCAAACCAAAACAAGCTTCCTAAGCAAGGGAATGTATAAATAATAAATTACTCCAATTTAAGACTAACTGGAATATTTATCAAAGATTTCCTTAGAGATTTTAGCACTCCCCTTAATGTTATGTTTACTCTTCAGTACAGAGGAATACACCCTGCATGTTAAGAAACAGGGACATTTTTTATACTGATAGTAGAGTTTTGGCTAATTGAAGTCATTTTATTAAATACTACTTAAAAACCAGCTCCAGAACTGAAATGGATTGGAGAGCCCTGCTCCATGGTGTACCCAGATTTACACAGAGCCACTGTGCACATTAATTTATATCAAGGTAGGGAAATATGACCAGGAGAAAGTGGGGGCTTAGAATGGAGCATTAGGGAGGCCATCCCCCAGCTGTTCCTCCCACAGCAAAGCACTGAGGGATTTTTTCTTAACATAATTTTTTTCCATAGCCCCCAACTAATCTGGCCCATTTCCTAATCTTTCTTTTGCCATCTTCTCCCCCTACCAGTCTGCACAGGAATGGAGCAGGAATAGAGTAGAAGAAACACAATGAACACATTTACAGGAACCATTTTCAAAGAATTCTCACCATCATCTTTGGAATCATCAGTGTCAAGCTAAAGAAATCTTCGCAATGAATAACAGTTTTACCAACATTTATTCCAAAGCCTTATGTCACTGTCATTAACTTTATCCCTAAGTTGTGAAGACAAGGCTGATTCAGAGTTATACATGATTTAAATCTGGCCATTCAGATCAATGCAAAACAAGTACATTCTATTATTCTAAGTCAGGTATTGTTAAATTCTATTTATTTCTGCTAGTATTACTAAATATCTACACTGATGTATACTTCAGTGCCCAAAGTCACTAATTTATCTGGGCTGTACTCACATCTCTCCAATCCATGCAAAAGAAAATCCATGAAGACAAATAGGCTTGTTCATGCAAGTATTGCCAACAGGTGATTAACCCCACTCTGGCTGGACTCTTCCCTTTCACCCCTGTAAAAGGCTATTACCATCAATTGCCCCGTAGAAAAGATTTTAAATAGTATTTGTTGTACTTTTATTTATTTTTTATTTGCTGGTAAGCCACTTTGAGAGGACTGCTATTTTGAAAGACAGGATATAAATAACTGCAGTGAATATATAAATAAAATGCAGATGAAGAAAACTCTATGTACAATAACTCCAGTTGTACATGAGATGCGAATCCAAACTCAGAAATCCAGAATCTCAGCAATATGCTGTAACCCATCACTTATCAATACATTGTCTTTGCTTGCAAGCAGCAACTGAAAGGAGGGTGAGCTTCATTAATGCTACTGGCCTCTGGTTCGTTTGCTGCAGAGTAATATATGTATTATAAGGCATTTTCTTAAAGCGTAATAGTTACTCTTCAGCCTTGGTATTCAAAACAGTGAATAACATAAATTAAAAAAAGAAGACAGACAAGAATAAGTTGCAGCAGAAGATTAAAATCCAATGTTAAAATAAATAAAGCATTAATTTAACATATGTGACAAGAAAGAAAGAAAGAAAGAAAGAAAGAAAGAAAGAAAGAGAGAGAGAAAGAGAGAGAGAAAGAGAGAGAGAAA